ATGCATTCATCACTTTTTGTCCATTCAAATTTTATATTAAGGAATACTGTAAGGTTTGAACACAGATGAATACATGGGAAGTCCTGTCAATTCCCATGTGACTGTATTGTACTGTATTTTCATCTAGTAAAAAAACCCAGCGTCGAATGTAATGAAAAGCCATTTTCTGAGTAAGACCCGGAGGCTCCCCGGAGCTATCCAGGTTGATATGCTAATGTCAGACTTTGGCATCAGTCATATGTATGGAGTTCTCTGGGCCTACCGGGGACCACGAGCCAGAACCTGGCCCCCCTCAGAGAGGCATGGGAAGCAATGGCCTATAGAAACCCCCTGTGTGGTTGGAAACATTCTATGTTTGCCATCGACCGGGTCAGGCACCCAGAAATGTAAGCTTCCCAAAACAAACCCCTATTCTGGTGAAAATTGCTACAAAAAGCCGAACAAGTGAATAGAACTCCTCAAAAAGAAACGAGCAAATGAGCATGACGTCACACGTTGCTGCACCGCTGTCTGCGCAGCTTCCTCCTCCCTGGGAGCCGGCCATTCACTGTTCAGTTCTGAGGCTGGATATAAAAACACGCAAAAAAACACTGATCGGGGGGAGGGAGAGATGCTGGGGAGCCTCCGGGTCTTACCCAGAAAATGGCGTTTCATTACATTCAACGCTGGTTTTCTGGGGGAAGCCCCTTCGGCTCCCCGGAGCTAACTACCCACAGAGGAAAACTAGAGGGACTTACCCGGGAGGTGGTCGCTGGTCACACCTCAACCCAAAGTCGAGACAACTGGCTACAACCGCCGACCCAAAGCGACACAGGCCCAACTAGGCCCAGGAACGTTCATGAGGTGGCACACAGCCAAAACCCTGTTTGACCACCAAAAACCCTGCGCCTGAATGTCAGCCCAGGACATGTTGCCAAAGATGGCAGCAAGAGCAGTGAACTTACGAACGTCATGGGCACAGAGATAGACCACAGGCTGGCTAGCCTTAATAACCTTGCGAACGACCTGGGAGATGCGCACCCGCGAACAGGGAAGGAGGGAAACCGGATCAACCTAAAGCACGTCCCCAGATACAGAAGCCGTGGTGCGCAAATAACGGCGGAGGGCCGCAACCGGACACAAAGGATGATGCACCCCTGGCCTGACCAACCAAGCATCAACAACCCAAGGGCCCCTCCGGAAAGCAGTCATCTCATTCTTCGCCAGAAAATAAGGAGATGGCTGCAGACGAACAAACCGATCGCCACGACCGAAAGAGCAGAAACCCCTGTGTCGGAGGAGAGCAGGAAGCTCCCCGACCCGACCCAATGGAAGGAGTCGGCGTCGACCGTCCATTCCGTGGACAGGGAACGAAACGAGACAGGCCATCCGCCAAAACATTGGACACTCCCCAAACGTGAACTGCCAAGAGAGCCAAATCCCGAGAACTCGGCAGACGCGTCACCTGAAGCGATCAGCACCAGAGAGCCAAGAACCGCATCGAACCCCTCAGTTCAGGCAATGAACCACTGGGAAGCAGTCAGAATGGAGCCGGATCATCGATCCGTGGGCGACCCGAACCCTCAAAGAGCAAACCACACTGCCGCGAACTCCCGCACCGGGCTGTGGACCCGACGGAAGGACGGATCCCACCGTCCCTGGGTGGCCTGATAAGCACTGGTCACATAGACCCAGCCGAGAGACGACGCATCCGTGAACACATCGAATGAGGGCTCGGGCAGGCACCAAGGCACTGAACCCCAAAAAACCCGAAGAGGAAGCTGGCGACGCAGCAGCCGATGCAAGGCCCCCAGGGGCTGAACCCGGCGATCGTGAGAGACGCAAAAGGGACTTCCCCGAAGAAACCAGAACAGCCGACGAAATCAAACCTTACCCGGCGGGAAGACCATCATCGCAAAGTTCAGGCTCCTGCACAGACCCTCAAGCAACTGCCGGGTGACCCGGGAACCCCCCAGAAATAGGGGGGACCGCAGCCATAGGAGAGACTCCGGAGGAAGAAACAAGGAAGTGGTCCGAGAGTCCCACATAAGACCCCAGCCAGGCCCGAACCTGGGAGGGAACCAGATGGGACTTCCTCCAGTTCACCAAGAACCTGAACCCGGCAAGTTGGGAAAGAACCAAATCCCTGGCTAGCAGACAAGAGGACCGGCTGGGAGCCCAAACCAGCCAGTCGTCGAGGTAGGCCAACACCCGAACACCTAAAAGACGCAGACGAGCCACAACGACCCGGGTAAGGCGTGTGAACATGCGAGGTGCCAGGTTCAACCAGAACAGGAGACAATGAAAGTGGTAACCATGACGCCCCACAATAAAACTGAGCAAGTCCCCAAACCCCGGATGAATTGGGACATGCCAATAAGCGTCCCGGAGGATCAGGAACACCATCCAAGAGCCTGGCGCCAACAGGAGCCGAACCTGGGACAGCGTAGTTATCTGAAAGGAGGGGCAATGAACCCAGGGGTTCAGACGGGACAAGTCCAGAATGAACCTCAGGTCCGCACAGTCCCGTTTCAGTACTGGGAACAGACGGGAAACCCATCTGAGGTACGTCGTTGTTTCAAGCATGCCCAAGCGCATCCACTCCAAGACGAATCAACAGAGTGCAGAGGAAAAGGCCTGCCCCGCCAGCCCCAAATCCCCCGAAGGAGGAAGGGCCACCCAACGTCACCGCAGGCTGTAGGAAACGACCCGAAACGCCCACAAATCGTGGAACCAGGTGTGAGCGAACAGCGCAAGCCTCCCCCCCATCGCCCTGTCAATAGGGTGAACCGCGAAAGAGTCGGTGCCCCTTACATGACCCTGAACCTCACACAGAACAAACACCGCGCCGACCAGACGAAGGTGGGTTCGAAGGCGGGGACGGACCCGAAACTGGCACCAGTGGTCTACCTCGACGAGAGGAACCCCGAGCCCTGGCACGACCCCTCCAGAAAGGCCTCCTGGGACCCCTGGAGAACCAACAAGTCAGACATAGGATGACAACTAGCCGAAGCAGCCTGCAAATACTGCGCTATGGCAGAATCCACAAAAAGCAGAGGACAAAAAGGAGAGCCAGGGCCCAGGCTGATTCCAGAGAGGAGGCAAACACCGCCTGCCGACACATGAGCTGGAAAACATAAAACAGCAAAACCGCATCCCGTAGGATCAGCGCAAAGAGCACCAACAAGACAGTCGATGAGCTAGCCGCCGAGCCCAAGGCACCAGACCCAGGAATGGGCCCCAAGTGTCCCCACATCCTCCTCAAGTCCGAAGACATCTCCAGGAAGGAGAAAAATAACGCAAGGCCGAAACCAAGAGATCACGGGCGCGCAAGTCCTCAGCAACCTGTGCAGCCGAAAGGGAGGGAATCTGCACATGGAGCAGCACGATGCCAACATCCTGGGGAAGGGCAGGAGCAAACAAGCACTCATTGAGGTGCTCAAGGTTTCCCCCCAGGAAAACCTGAACCACCGTCGAAGCCTCGCACCACTCAAGCGTGCGGGAACGACAGAAGGAATGCCAAGCCTCCAAAGCAAACACAGGACAGTCCGCCAGCCAGGACGACTCCGAAACAGTGTAACGGACCCAGAAAGGGAATGACGTCCCAAACCTAAAGGAAAACAGATCCATAACAGAGGCATAATCTGGGTCACACAGAAGATAAGCCACAAGGGTTGCCCGCACCGCAGATGGTTGGATGCAGGAAGCCGAAAACCTCTGGAAAGATGGAACCGACGCACCCGGGGGGGTGGCACAGAACCGAACCCGGAGAGGGGCAGGCACCAAATCCAATTCGTACGCAAAGGGGGGGGGGACGAACCCACTCCATGTAACAGTAAGCTCCGCTCAGAGGGCAGAAAAACCCAGGCGGGGTCTAATGGGGCCCAAGTTTGCCCCTCCCCCACCCCAGGATCCTCCACCACAGGACTCGTGGCCGAGACATCCCCCAAAGCACCGGCCTCTAAAGAAAAGGCCGGCGCAGCCATGTAAGCCGGACGGAAGGGGGGCCCCACTGGTCAGATCCGGAGGCTTCAGCATGGAGATCGGACTCGAATGCCTCCGTCGCCACACCGGAAGGGGCATCCCCCGAGACTGCCCGAGTCTCAAGTCCATGTAAATCTCACCCCGATTCCAAAACCCTCAGACATTTCGTGGCCGGAAGCAGGGGGGGGGGGAGACAAGAACGAACCACAGTAGGGGAAGGACGAGGGGGTGCTGACTAAACCAATGCCGAAGCAACCATCACCCCCAAGTCTGGGTCCCTATAAGCAAATGGGGCAGCCTCGGGGCATCCGGGTGAGCAACCAACCACATGCAAAGCACAGTGCTGAAAAGCACTGGACCCAGAGCACATGACCTCAGCCTCAAGCATCAGCCTCAGAACTGAAAGGTGGATGGCCGACGCGGGGGTCTGGGGCTCCCCCTTCCCCTCTCGGGGTGAGGGGGAGCTGCACAGACAGTGGTGCGGCGATGTGTGTGACGTCATGCTCGTTTGCTCGTTTCTTTTTGGGGAGTTCTATCCACTTGTTCAGCTTTTTGTAGCAATTTTCACCAGAATAGGGGGTTTCTTATGGGATGCTTTCTAGGTGCCTGACGTGGTTGATGGCAGACATAGAATGCTTCCAATCACACAGGGGTTTCTATAGGCCATTGCTCCCCATGCCTCTCTGAGGGGGTCAGGTTCTGGCTTGTGGTCCCCGGTAGGCCCACAGAACTTCATACACATGACTGATGCCAAAGTCTGACATTAGCATATCAGCCTGGATAGCTCCGGGAAGCCGAAGGGCCCCCCCCCCCAGAAAATATGGATTTGGCTTGAGTCCCAAGGAATGTTGAAGGGCAGCTGATCAAAAGTTTGATAGCTCTGCATTTGAGTACAGTAATGTGCATAGTTTCCAGAATAGTAAAATGGAAGTACAGTGTTCATTGCCTATGGCTTACCCCCCTGAATCCTATTTAATGTGATTTTGTTGTGGCCTATTGTTCCTCCCCTTTTAATTGTTATCTACCTCTCCGCCTAGGCTCCCTTACCATTACTGTTGGGCGAGGATCTCTGGACTGTGATTCGCTATCAGTCTGCTCCTCGGCCACTGCTGTTTCTCAGTACTACTACTATGCATGTACGTCACCTTAGAGATTTTGAGTGAAACATGTTTTATCAGAGCCAAATGTGTGCTCGTTGATGTTTTGGTAACTGGTGTTTCCACTAGCTCTGTTTTGCATGAGAAGTTTTGTTGATTCTTTGAGTATAAAGCTTTATACCTTGAGCTGTCTTCCAAGTTGTGGCTGATCAGTGGGGGTAAGGGTTGGCTAAATGTTTTTTGGAATAACTTGGTGTTATGCCAGTAAATACTCAGTGCTCTACTGTTTATAATTAAATAAATAACAGCTGTTTTGTGTTATTGTTTGTTTCCTGAACTCACAATTCTTAAGACAGAAGACTTGAGGGAAGCAATTTTCTTCAGAGGTATTTTTGTATGTAGAAACTTAGAGAGTTTTCTAATTGCATGAGCACAATTGTAAGGTTTTACTAGTTATGATAGAATTCATACTTTTGTAGAAGATAAAATATACAGTATGGGTTTTATTAGTAAAGTTTAAAGCTACTCTTAGCTTTTTGTGATTCAGTATGCATGATCTATTGTTGACGGCTTAAGTCCAGGCCATTAATTTGTTCTTGTTTTTAATTTTTTTTTGGCTGAAGTGCATGATGTTTTTAATTTTTATTACTATTTAACCATTATAATCATTAACAGTGCCTCAAACTGTTAAATTTGCATTCTATTGTTGTTCAAATTATGTCTTCATTTGGATCAGGCTAACATGACTCAGTACCATGGATGCTCAATGGTCTTGTTTGACTTAATTTATAGAACTGAATTGTATTCACAAAGTTGCTGGCATCATCATCATTATTACCAGCACTGTCTTAATTATTTGGCATATATGAGTTGCCCATTCTTCTGCAAATTGCATTATTTAAAAAAAATACACACAAATGTTTGGTCAATTATTAATGTAGCTCAACTGCCTCTGGGGTTTGCCCCCATCCACATTGACGACTTAGACAGTTGAGTTTCCCTTCCCGCCAAGGATTTGGAGTCTTCTAATTCTCAGGGGGTCTTCTTAGCTCTGATTCTTTAGATTAGGGTGATGTCTCTGTTGAAGCATGGAATACAGTACTTCTCTGGGGTTTTCATGCATGACGTCTGGAGCTGAGTGGGGGAGCTCCAGCATGGTCTATGGTTGCCCTTCAACCTTGCCTGGTGTTTAGTTTCATCTTTGGAGGGTGTTTCACTCCAGGCAGAGGATTATACCTATCCTCCATCCATGTTTGAGTTAGATTCCTCTACTGCTCCTCTCCAGGCTTGCTTCCGTGTCCTGCGGGAAGTCTTCATATGCGTCATACTTCTGAAGGTTTCCATTCCCCCCTCCCCCTTTGTATCTTCTTTACCTTGGGCAGACCTATTTTGTTTCCTTCTGCTGTGTCATTATCTCGTGTCCTTGATGGATCTGGCATCATTTGAGTTAGGTTCAGTTTTGGCCTTTTGTGCCAAAGAGAGAGAGAGAGAGAGTGGGTTATTTGTTCTGGCAACTCCATGGCTTTTCTCCCTCAAGCCCAGACTGCAGAGAATTACAGGACTTGTGTTCACTTGGTGGCTGTTTTGTTCATCTGAGCTATGACCAGCTTCGAGGCATAATTAGTGTTTTGGCTTCAGTGCCTGGTGTTGCTGCTTTGTTACTTGCAGTCCCATCTTTGGTGGTTCTGCCCAAGTTGCTCTTTTCCTTCCTTCGGAGGTGGTGGCAGACTTTTCCTTGCCCGTCTCATGTATTGGTGGGCCATTCTTGGCCAGGTTTTAGATGCTTACAGTTCAATCTCTTACCCTTTCATCAACCTCCCTGTCTGCCACTTCTTTGTCAGAGGAAGCTGTTTCTTCAGTGCTCTTGGCTGCAGCTACTGGTTTCCATCCCCTCAGTCAGGATTCCTTTGAAGAGAGGTTCTGCCCCAGCTGCTCAGAGGTGGTCTTCCTAGAGTGAGCCCGTACCTGTGGCTCATTGAGGTGTAAGAGAGGAGGGATGCACCAAATTCCTTTTACTGTACAGTATTTATCTTATTATTTTTTTGAATAAATTATTTTACATTAGCACATAATGATGACACTTTTGCCAATACAAGACTGAGTTTTGGTGGACTCCACACACAATTAAACTAATTTAGTCTCTAGGGATTCAACTTAACTTATGAGGTGCATGCATTACAGTTACTGTATTTTAAACACATGAAAGGGATTTCATGTCCATATACAAGGAAAACAATCACTTATTTAAGGGTACACAGATCTCATTGTCAGTGGGAGAAAAACTGAGAGAAATGCCTCACTATGGAGGTGGGTACCTCAAGAGTACAACCAACACACCACCTCAGTCGGGTAAGTCTGGCTCCTCTCTGAGGGTGGTGGAGGGTAGGGAGGCTACCCTCTCAAAAGCATGCAAGTAATCTACTTTACACACAGACATAAATGTACTTGATCTTCAAGAACAATAAAAACAGTCATAAATATTACTATCACAGATACCTGTACTATGTGCTGGGTAAATGTACACAAAGAGCTAGTAATTCTTCCATGAGAATCCATCTTAGGTACCAGAACTCCCATCCAAGGAGTAGAACGGTTAATCACCAAATCATACATTTGCTTGTACAGTAATGTTCCTTTATCAAAGATGAAATAGAGGACCAACTTAAGAGAACATATAAAATGCTGCAGAAGAAGAAAAAGTGTATCTGAAGTTTTTAAGCTGGCACAAATATCTCGACAAAGAGAGGAAATAGTAATAAAAAGAGTGAGAGTGAGGAAATAGAGCAGAAGCTAAAGTACTCATGATAGACTGAAGAAATGTAAATGGAACAGAAAGCCATAAAAGAGAGAGGAAAATCCAAAACACTTTTCCACATAAGCAAAATGAAAACAAAAGCCTCCACCAGTATTGGACCTCTACTTATAAGAGAAGAAATTATTGACATTCTGAAAGAATATTATTAAAAAGTTTGAGAGGGTGATTACGAGTCAAATCTATAGTTTTATGAAGAACAATGAACTACATAACCTGGGTCAACATGGATTTAGTGTAGGACACTTCTATCTTTTGTAATTATGCCAACACTGTGACAGATTCATGGGGGCATTAGAAGAAAACCAAATGTAGATGATGATGCATACACATAGAAAATCTTTGGAGCAGGATGGGGAATCGAGCCTGCATCCTGGATAACCCCACATGTGTGCCTTAACCCATATGCTAAAGATAATACAACCTGAGATCTGCTGGATCCACAAGGAGTCTGGAGACACTGAGATGATAACCAATCCATGTTTTATATATTCAGGATCCTTGGGATCTGGGCAGATCCCAGGTTGTATAATCTTTAGCATATCATGGGCTATGGATTAAGGCATGCATCTGAGGTTATCCAGGACGCAGGTTCGATCCACATCCTGCTCCAAAGATTTTCTCATAGATATATAATATTATTTTGATTTCCTTGTGTATTTGAAGGGAACATTTGATGAAGTCCATTGTCTGTATACATGGATTTTGCAAAGGCATTTGACTGTGGAATGATAGCTCATAAAATGAGGTTCAAAGAAATATCAGGCAAAATGAGGCAGTGAATATTACATTTTCTGACAAACAGGTCACAAAGAGGAACAATGCTCTTTGTTTGACTCTTAGAACAGTCACAGAATCTATTATGAGCACAGTGAAAAGTTCTGTACCCCAAGGCACTGTCTTCACCACAACATTTCCTCATCCTCATATCAGACAGGAGGATACATGATACAAGATGCAGTCAGGTCTCCATATGGAAGGAAAACAACATTAAGGTTCTATGAATAGTGATGTACGATGACCTAACATTTAGTGAGCATAAAGCAAATGTTGAATTGCCCAGAAAAATTATTGGGTAGATTATGAGAACCTTCAAATCCAGGAATACCACAACAATGCTCCAACGTTTTAAAGTCACTTGTGTTTTCTAACCTTGAATGCTGCTTGGTACTCTTGTAGTTCCAAATCAAGATAGAGATCTGAAACAGGAGGAGTGTAGTGAACATATACAGTGTATTCATATACACAGTAAAACAAATAAATTATTGGGACCATCTCAAAGCTTTGAGAATATATTCTCTGGAAGGAAGACAAGCAAGATACTACATAATGTAGTGTATATTGAACATGGAACAAACTTGAGGATTAGGTTCCAAATATGCACTTACAAATAATGTACCGGAGTAACACATATTGGTAGGAAAAGCAGAATACAGTAGACCCAGTGAAGAATAGCCCCCCTGACTGTCAGAGGGGCTCAGTGTCAGTGTTCTCTGAATGTGCCATAGGCACAGTCAGAGAACACTGTATGAACATAAGAGGCCCACAAATATTTTGACCTCCATCCACTAAATATTGTACAAGAAATATTGCTGGAACAGAGGTGGAAATTTTCAAAATGAAATTGAACTAATTCCTACAGGAAGTGTCATATTTGCCATGTTGCAATGGATATGTGAGCCTGTGGGCTACTGCAAGCAATAACCTCACTAATCAAGTTATCAACAGGCAGGCCTCACCCCTTGATGGGCTTGCACAATTTAAAAACTCTTGAAACTTGTATATAGGTAAACTCAATTAATATTATTTGTAAATTAATAATTTCAGTTTATTATGTTATACAGTAGAGTACTTATAGTGGTGGAGACTATATCTTTATTATGCTATACAGTAGAGTATTTATGATGGTGGAGACTATATAATGTCATAATTGCTAGAATTTGGATGACTTAGAAAATCACCTAATGATAAGAACAAAAATAATCTTAATTACAATGACAACAATTGAATTTACAGGAACCACCCCATGTAAAGTCAGAGTTGAACCAACATTGCTGATGTTGGAGTGACATAATGCTTCATGTTGTATTTCCTGTTCAATATTTACATTTAATATTAATAATGTTTTAGTTGCTAAAGCGTATTCAGATTTAACTTTATGCCAAATATGAGTTTTAAGTTTTAAATTGCCAAGCAGAACTTTCTTCCAGGATTAAAGTTATAAATT